AGGCCGCCGTCATCGTGCACCGAGACAGCGAGACGAGGGCGGCGCCGGGCGGCGCGGAACGAGAGGAGGACGTTTTTCTTGGACGATTCGGGTTTCGCTTCGATCCCGTTTATTGTGTTCCGACTGCTGAGTCAACGGGCCCGCGTGTTGCTGCTGGCCCGCGAGGCCGCGACCGCGAGGGCCGCCGCCGTCGGGGCGCCGCCGAGGTCGCCGACGATGACGTCACGGTGCGGTCGCCGCTGCCCGCTGACTCTGAACCGCGCCGCTCTGTCTCTCTCGCACTCACGGAGTGTCCCGTTAGGGTGCGAGAGAGACAGCGACACTGTGCCGTTCGGAACGAGCGCACTGTTAGGCAGTCCCTTTGAAGCGGCTCGGCCGGGCTGCCCGTCAACACACCCTCCTCGCGCTGCCGGGCTGCCCGGCCTCGGCCCGGCCGCCACTGCACCACCAGGGGGTCGCCAAATTAATCGACGAAATCGCAGTGGCGGTTCGAGGTTCCTGGTGACGGCGGCGTCGCGAACAGGAACACGGCGCCCAGGTCGGCGAGGGTCGAGTTTTTCCGCCCTGGCACTTATGGCCGCTCTATATCACCGTCCTGGAGATGATGAAGCTCGCGCCCCCCTTGGCCTTATCGTCCGCCCTGGCGGAGGTCCTGGCCCGCCCTGGCCCGCCCCCGGCAGCACACTGTGTACGGTGACCTCGCGGGGCGCGGGGCGCGGGCCGCAACACGCGCGGACATAATGGGGCGCCGGCCCGGCCGGCGAGAGGGGCACCGAGGTGGACGTGGGGCGCAGTGCGGGCCGCGGGCCACTCTCGGAGTTCCACGCCACTGCACAGCCCACTCTCTCTCTCTCCCTTTTCTCTGTCCCACTCATGGGCAGCCCCGCCGGGGTGCGAGAGAGACAGAGCGACGCGCCCCTGCCCCGGCACGGCCGCGGCCTGGACCGCAGGACAGATGAATCTGCGGCCGGGACGCCAACAACCACGCCACGAAGCACGCCGTCATTGTGTCCGCCCCGTGTCCACGGCCTGCCACTGCCTGCCACTGCCTCATTCGGGCTCAGCCGACCTCAAGGGGCTGGGTGAGCGCGGGGCGGTGTATGGTCACGCGCTGCGCTGGGTGGCAGCACACGCCGTCAGAATTTGTGGACATTTTTCCTTAACTGATTCGACAAAAAATAACCACACGTGAAACCACACTGAAAATAAGTGGCAAAAGCCCTAGCAGCCTGGGTTGCGTGCGGTGGGCGGCACGGCGGCAGGCCGAACTATCCTGTCCCGTGACCGATGGCACGTGTGGGAAGGCCGCGACGGCCACGCCGCCGCTGGGGATCGAACCCGAGCCAGCCGGCTTCGTTATCAACACAACAACCCCGCTCCACGCGCTCCGCGCCCCGCGTCGGCATATTGCGGCGCAGCGGCCTCAGCGGGGCGTATTTTTCGTTTTTCACTTGTTTGCCGTCTCGCTGTTGCCACTGTTGTGACTGCCTTGCCCCGCGGTCGCAGACAGCGGCATTGTCTCGATATCCTGATATCCTGCAGTCAATAGCCTCATCCCCGCGGCCCCGCCCCAGGCAGCCCGGGGGCCCTTCATCGTGGTGCTCATCATTGCCAGGAAGTCACGGCGACCGAGCCACTACACTGCCAGGCCCTGTCACGTCGACGACAGCGCTCTTCCCGCGCTTTTGCCCCCGCTCGACAATTGAGCCGCTCCGCTGCACCGGCTGAATGTACCCGAACGTGCCCGTCGGTGGCCACGCGGATCGGGGGGGGGGGGGGGGGCGCGCTCGTCGGCCTCCTCTGCTCCCTTAAAGGTGGGCAAAACGTCGCACTTTGCCCTGTGAGGAGGCAAACTTTCGCCAGTACATCCCCCCCGCCGCCTGAGAGCGCCTTCTGGATCCACCGTGAGGTGAGGCGCCACGCTCCCCCTTCGAATGGCTCCGGGAAGGGAAGCGGCGCCTCATTAACGGTGTGCCGCGGTGCGCAGAGACGAGTCACGAATCACTGGGTGCGTGGTCGCGGTTTGGGTCGCCGGGAGTTTGGGCGTCTCTTCCCACGTAAAAGCCAGCCAGCCGCGCCGCCGCACAGTGGGCCAGAAGACCGGTGGAGGCGGCCAAAACTCTAGACGCGTTTTGAGCTGCAGAGTCGTTAAACAGGACTCGAACCGAACGTGTGACCCCACCAATGGATTCCTCGTTTGGAGAGCAATCCATTGGTGGGGTCACACGCTCGGTTCGGGTCCCATTTAGCGACTCTGGAGCTCAAAACGCGTCTCGAGTTTTGGCCGCCTCCATCGGTCGTCTGGCCCACTGTGCACCGCCGCCCTCCCGGGCTGATTCCGCGCGGAGCGCTATCGTCGCTCTGTCTCCGTCGCACTCACGGGGCGTTCGGCACGGGTGCGAGAGAGACAGAGCCACTGGGGGAGACCGAGCCCCTGATCGGTAGGCAGGGCGAGCGCAGCGAGGCGGCGGGGCTGCCTGCCCACCAGGCGCCCCGCTCCGCCGCGTCCGCCGCGTTCGCTTGAATCGCAATCGCAATCGCAACCGCAGCGGCAGTCGCAATCCCGGCCCTCGCTTTTTGATTTCGTTGCTTTTCCTCGTTACCCAAAGGTCACGCGCTGCAATGCGATTTACTCCGAATTGTCACGAAATTGTCGTGGGCGTCGAGGAGCCCGCCAACGGTGGCGCATCCATATTCAAGAAGAGCAACCAGGCCGCTGTCTCTCTCGCACTCGTCGTACGTCCCGTAGGGGTGCGAGAGAGACAGCGCGACGAAACCGCTCTTCGGAATGACGCGGCGGGCCGTGACTCTGGTCGTTGATTTCGTAATTCCGCCGCCACGCCACTGCAATGACAGGCAAGGCGCGGAGTAATGAGAAGGCCGATCCCGATTATTATCGGTACTCTTAATGAAGGCGGGAAGAAGACTCTGCTCGCCCCCGCGGCGAGGCGTTGGCGCGCGCGGATTGGCCGGCGATGACGTCAACACGCGTTTCGCATTCCATACTGTACATGTTTTTATACTTTTCTTTCTTTTCCTTTCCCCGGCGGTGAATTGTTTTCCGATTTTTCCCTGACGGCGGGGGCCGAGAAATTTGCAAAAAGCGACATGTATGACCGCGGCCGAGGGCGGCGGGGTTGTTCGAAGTTGACGGAACGCTACTCCGCTGTCGCACGGTGCGGCACACTGTGGCACGCTGTCGTGGGCGAGACAAGAAAGGACATGCGTGGGCTTCGTTACTTTTACCCAGCAGTGGAAACAACCAATATCGTTAACAGAGAGACTGACATTCATTCAATAACCGCGCGCAGAATGGCCCGTCTGTCACTCTTTTCTGTTTTGTTTTCGCTTTGAACTTGGCCGGTTTTCAAATATTAGGACTTTAAGTTTTGCGGTCCGTTAGCACTCTGTGGTAATCTGTGCCGACCCTTGCAACGCCCATCCCCCCCAGCCGGACCCCCTTGTCAGTTCAGCTAAACGAGAGTGAGAGAGAGAACGGGTAGTCTAGCTAAACGCGAGCGAGGTGTGACTTGTCGCAATACTCTAATGGCCACGGCACGCGCCACCGTAAAACGGGTTGAACGTGTCGCCTGGCCGGCCGCGCACTACTCGCCCTCCGCGCTCTCGCTCGGCGCGTTTGTAAAACTGTTGTTGTTTTTATCATTAACAAGAGCGGGGGAGTGGCGTGGCATGGCCGGGGCATGGCCCGTCGGGCCCGGCGCGCCGACCCCTCCATTCGGCTAAAAGCCCGCCAAATACGGCTGCCCGCACCCATCGCACCATCGCACCAGCGCACCATCGCACCTCGTTGCCGTCCGGGGCGTTTCCATGCGCCGCGCGCCACGCCGCGGCCGGCCAGGCCAGCAAGCAGTCGCACAGTGGGCCAGAAGACCGGCGGAGGTGGCCAAAACTCCAGCCGCATTTTGATCTCCACAGTCGCTAAATGGGACTCGAACCGAACGTGTGACCCCACCAATGGGTTGCTCTCGTTAATCGGCGACACGAGGGCCGAGGCCGTGGCCGCGCTGTGACGTCGTCCTCGGCCCCGTCTTCGTCTAACGTTCCCGGAGAGCAAACATAACGCAATCCGCTAGATGTTTGCGCCCACGCCGTCCACGACTCCGGCCAACTTGGGCGCATGGCTCGCATGCCGTCGGCCGCGCGCTCGGTCCCCGGTTCCCGGTCCCCGGTCCCCGTCAGCGGTCCGAGCGGAGCGAGCATGGGGAAAGATGCAGGATTACACAACTCAAGATAATTGGATTTGGGAAACAAAACGGGTTAGCGACGCGAGAGCGGCGCGACATTCGAAATTCGAAGCGGACGCGGCGATGGCTTTATGGGTGACAGATTAGAACGGGCGGCGCGCGCAGGCAGGGTGGCGCAGGGCGGCATCGCATTGCCATAGAAGCACGCTCGACCAAAAGACCGCCCTCGACGGCTTCCCCGCGGTCGCCCCGTCGCCCCGCCCCGCCCCGGCACGCCGCAACCCCCGATACCCGACACAGCCCCGACAGGAGACACCAGACCTGAGGCATTCCTGCTGCTGTCGCCAGCTCGGGCTCACCGCCTTGGCCGCCGTGGCCGCCGTGGCCCTTTCCATGGCCTCGGGCAGGGCGTCGACGGCGGCTGGGACTCGGTGACGCGGTGGCGCCCTGGCGGCCGTCGAGCTGACGGCCAAGTCCGGCGAGACAAGCAGGATCCTTGTTCTCCGCTTGTTTGCAGCATGCTCGCCATGCTTGCCTGCATAGTTGTCCCAGCCTCGTCTACCGTGCCTTCCCCGCAGTCCAGCAGCACGGCCAGCCCCTTGGCCTGCCCGACCCACCAGTGCATGTGCCTCGCAACAGGTCCAGCGCGAGTTCCTCGGGGCCCGGGGTCCCGGACACCGACTCTGAACCAAACCACGGCCTCGGTGCTGCCTCCTCCGGGGCCTGTCCCCTGGAGTCCCTCCTGCGCGACCCCCAACAGTCCCCAGAGTCCCCCGACCCGGCCCCCATACTCACGCGCTGGCAGTGCCGGGTGCCTGCGAGGTTCCCCGACGTCGGACGAGGGCGCCGACGACGCTAGTCGGCTCGACGGTGGACTTGGGCTTCGCGATGGGGCCGATGGGACTGCCTCTGCAGTGCCTTAACGCGCTCAGCTCACCGACCCACCGACGCGACCCGTTCCCGACCTGGGGTGCAGCCACTGTGCTGCCGCCCGACGCCGCCGCGCGCTTATATACGGAGAGGGCCCGAGGGGGTGGCGGCCGGGGGCGGGGTGGGGCTGGCGGCCGGAGCGGGGTGGCGGGGTGGGAGGAGTAAGCTGGTGTCCAACAATCGGATGACAACAGGCCGCACCAGTAAGTCCGTTATCTCGTCACCGAGTCCATGAGGACGCCGTCGACGTTTCGTCGTCGCCCGCACCGTCCTGGACAACAATGCCCGCGTCCGCACGGCCAAGCTCCGCCTTAACGCCCGGCCGGAGAAAGACACAAGTGGGAAAGAGTCGACGCAGATGAAGGGAAGAAGAAGGGGAGGAAGAGCGGGACGCTCATTGTTGGCCAGCGCCGTCACGCTGGGCTGCACGCGTGCGCCATGCACGCCGTTTCGTCCAGCTCGACGATTTCGAACAGCGCGCCGTCGCTCTGTCTCTCTCGCACCCCACACGAGGACGCACCGTCCCGTAAGTACGAGAAAGAAACGAGAGCGCTGCTGTTCAGAATCAGCATGCCGTCCTTCCTTTACCGGGCGGTCTCAGCTTAATTCGCTGAATCCGCGGCGCGCCCGTCGAAAGCAGCGCCCAATTAAATTAAACCACCTGGCCAATCCGTTCGTTTCCCAATGAATCAACTTTCATCGCCAGATATCGGCGGTGCGCTCACGTCCGTGTGAATACGGCCGTTGTGGTGTGAGTGCGTGTGAGTGAGCGATTCGCGAGTTCCTTTTGTCCCCCGCAAACCGTGCTCGGCCATGACGTCGAGTGTGTGGCGGAGGCGGACGCAGGGACGCTCCAGTGCACCTTCGCGACGACGCCACGGACGCCGTTCGCGCGGCAAGTCAGTGAGGGATCGCCGGATGAAAAATTGCGCGGCCAGAGTAACGGCCACTGCGGCGGTGGAGAGAGCGCCGCCAGTGTAGGCAACCCGACCGCCTCGGCGGCCGCGCCGCGCGGTGCCTGCAGGTAGGTTAGTGGTTCCGAACTGGGGTTTCGTAGGTGTGTCTCTCTCGCACCCTGACGAGCAGCCAACGAGTGCGAGAGGGACAGAACGGTGGTGGTCGGACTGTCGGCCGGCATGCAGATAACGCGCAGAAGAAGACGGAGCGGGGAGCAGGTGGAGCTGCCCGCGTGGGTGGATGGAGGGCTCCGCGGCGCCACGTCGGGGCGTCCGGAGCCAGATAAAGCAGCGAAGCGGATGAAAAATCGCGCGGCGCGCGCCTTCGCCGAGCCGGCCAAACCGCAAAGGAGACTGCGCCAGGCTTAGCGGCGGCGGCGAGCCCTGGCGGCGAGCGCCGGCAGGCGAGGCAACCCGGCCGCCGCGGAGTGCGCGCGCTGCCTACCCTCGCGGCGCACCGCAGTGGGCCAGAAGACCGGTGGAGGCGGTCAAAACTCTAAACGCGTTTAGAGCTCCAGAGTCGCTAAATGGGACTCGAACCGAACGTGTGACGCCACCTATGGATTGCTCTCCGAACGAGGAATCCACTGGTAGGGTCACACGTTCGGTTCGAGTCCCATTGAGCGACTCTGGAGCTCAAAACGCGTGTAGAGTTTTGGCCGCCTCCACCGGCTTCTGGCCCACTGTGACGCGTCGTCGTAATCAGAGCGTCGGCCGACTCCCTTTTAATCACCCGATGGGCGGCGCCACGCCGCGAGTCCTGCCGAGGAGTCCTGCCGAGTCCTGCAGGCCGAACCGCGCTGTAGTTTGTAATTACTTCGCCGCGCCGCCACGGACCTCGGACCTCTCGCTCGCTCTCACGCGCGCTTGCCCACTCGCCGGAGGAAATTCGCGCGTTTTGTCGAGTGGAGGGGAATTGGTGTGTGTGTGTGGGGGGGGGGGCAAGATTGTTGTTGCTGCTTTTTTTTGTTTTTGTTTTTTACGCCCCTTCCGCCTTTGCGGGGAGAAACAAAATAGAATGGACCGGACGAATGGGCGACGCCGAGGGAAAAGAGGAAGGTGGGGGGGGGATGAAGGCGAATGCAGGATCCTTGTAGTCAACACCTTGGCGGCGTCCTGTGGGATAAGGACCTTTGTGTGTGTGGGGGGGGGGGCTGTAAAACCGTGACGGCAAGGATGCATGCAGCTGGCGGAGAGGAAAAGAGCTTGCATAGAGCAACAGGCGCGCGCCGCCGTGCTGATATGCCGCGGTGCCGCGGTGCCGCCGTGCCGCCGTGCGGTCCCCCAGCGGTCCCCGAGTCCCCCGTTGCCGATCCCGCTCACTTACACCGCGGCTTGGCGGTGCATGTGCACGCCCAGATACGGGCCGAGAAGGCCGGGACAAGTTTGCTGTTTGGAGAGGCGATGGGGAGGGGGAGGTTGGAGGGAAGGGGAGGGGAGGGGCAGCGTGGCCGCGGGCCGGACCCACCCGGCTCAACCCGGCGCCGCGCTCCCACGGTGCTCTCCTCAGGATATGCTTTGAAGGCAGTAGTCCGTGGCTGGACGGGGCGGGGCGGGGCGTGGCAGGGGCGGGGCGCCCCATCTCGTTGTCATGCTGCACTCCCATCCGGGACTCCTCCACTGCGACAAAGGAGTGCCCCGCGGACAACTATCGTCCGAGAAGTTCGACGCCTGCCCACGGCACTGAAAGGAACTCAGATCCCGAGCATTTCCTGGAGGAAGGATGACATCAAAGGATGTCCGCGAGTGTGTCCTCTGTGTGTGTGTGTGTGTGGGTGGATGGGTGGGTATCAACCTCGGTAGCAACTTCCACTGCAGTGCCACCCGCAGCCCAAGCTGCAGTCTTGTTTCGTTTCTGCGAGTTGTCAGTGAAGAAAGGCGAAGAAAGGGTCACACACATTGTGAAACGCGGATGATGCGTTCGGTGGAGACGATTGGCTGCAAGACCGGCGTGCCGCGGCGTGCCGCTTGAGGAACTGGAGGCAGACGAGCTCTGGCCCACTGTGTGGGGGCGGGCGGCACGGGGCGGCACGGGGCGGCTCGTTCCAAGACGAGGACCCACTCGGCGTGATTACGAGACAGAGCGTGGGCGGGCGAGGCCCGTATTTGCATCAGCCACGTATGGAAATAGGAATCCACTCGGCTGCTGCACCCCCGCAGAACCCCTTGTTTATCGACCACGAAAAAACGGAAACAAAAAGCGTTTGAAACCGGTTCACCGGAAGCAAAATACACGCTTCACAGTGGAGGCGCGGGTAGCCCAGCCGCAAGGACGAATCAATGAATGACGTCCCGTGGGTCGCGCGACAATCACGCCAGTTGGCGCGCCAGGACCGTCTCTCTCGCACTGCTGCGTGACGGCCCCGCGAGTGCGAGAGAGACAGGGCGACCAGAGCGCTGTTCAGAGTCGCGGCCCGCGCGGATTGACGCGGGGTCATTTCTCCTCGGCTCCTTAATTGGGCCGAGAGGAGTTGAGCGGAGCAGCGAGGCATAGAGCGAGACGGAGCGAGGCACAGGGAGAGAGAGAGAGAGAGAGAGAGAGAGAGAGAGAGAGAGAGAGTGAGAGAGGAGGCACAGAGTGAGGCGTGGAGCGGGACAGAGCGAGGCACAGAGCGAGACGGCGAGGCAGTGTGCCAGACGGACGCCACACGGCACACGTCGGCGGGCCCGGCCCGGGGCACAGACCCCCCGCGGGCCGTGGCCGTGCCCGTGATTCACGGGAGGCAAACTAGCGCGGAATTGCGAAGGTGTTTTCGGGCTTGCCGGGGCTTGCCGTGGGTCCCGAGAGGACGGCCTGGAGGAGGCTGGCTTCGCGTGTGCCGGAGGGACTGTGGCGATGAAGACTGCCACTCGGTTTTGGCCGGGCCGCGCTGGGCTTGACGCAGAAAGGAAAAAGGCGGGATAAAAGTGAGCGATTTAAAGTGCCAGTAAAAGGAACTCATTCCGACGAGGATGCGACCGCCGGCGACGCGCAACGCCTTCAATTTACGGTGGCGGTGGCCGCTCGGCTTCGCGCCGCTCCGCGCGGCTCCGCTCGGCTCTGGGAGTCGTATTCGGAACGGATAAACTCGGCGCGGCAGCTGAGCCGACCGGCAGGCATTCCACCAGGCGTTCCGTCAGGCAAAGCAAGACGGCGACGGATTCGCGTCGCTGTCACTGTCTCTCTCGCACCTGTACGGGGCGCCCCCGGAGTGCGACAGAGACAGAGCGACGGAGTCCGGAGCCATCCTGCCGCGCGCCAAATGGAAACGGCGTCGTCGGCCGCGGCGGCCAGTGTTGTTGGCAGTGTAGCGCAGCGCCCTGTTTAAAGGCCCATCCCAGTTCCCTTTTCCCAGTGTGCCTTCCATTCGGCCCCATTCACTGCATTCAGGTCCATTCGGCTGCCGGCTACTTCGTTTGGACACGCCAAGCACCTCCTCGACGCCGGCGGTGGCGGGGCTGGCGGGGCTGGCGGGGCCAGAGCGTCCCGCGGGGCCCGGCCGCTCTGGGGACCGAGACCGGCGCCAAATCGCCCGCCCGCGTTCCAACTGGTTCCAACTTCCAGCCCCGCCCGCCACGCCACCCAGGCTGTGCAAAGCCAGTCAGGCCAAGCCGGAACAGCCAGCCAGGGACAGCCAGGGACAGCCAGGGACAGCCAGGGACCAGCCCGCAGAGCGCCTGCAAGGTGCGGGGTAGGCAACGCGGGTACTCGGGTGCGCCCGCGCTGCCTACCTGCACGGCGCTCCCGCCGGCCGCGCCGAGCGGGCCTCCTGCTTCCTCCGGTTCTTCTTCTTCTTCCGCTTCCCTTTCTTCTTCTCCTCCAGCGAGCCCCATCACACCCGCTCGACCTGCTCACAGCAGTCGATGTTTCCCGCCCATATTGCAAAAGTTGGTCGTTGAGCGCGGCGGCGCGGCGTCCTGCCGATACACGGCTCTCCTTGTGTGGCGCGTGGCGCGTGGGGTGCGTGGGCCGGAGCGTGGCGTAGCTGCCCAGCACGCTCATTCCGAGTGGGCGGTCTTTCTCTCTCGCACCCGTGGGGCGTCCCGCAAGGGCGCGAGAGAGACAGGTTAGCAGTGTTAGGGACTCGGGACCCGTCGGGACGGCCGCGGGATTAACCTGTTGAGGGCCTCGCCAATAACACGGCCAAGCGCGACGCGCCGCGACGCGCCGCGACGCGCAGCAGCAGCCCGCCGATAATGAACGCCATAAGCGGAGGCCACATCGCTTCGTCTCTCTCGCGGCCCGGATAACCCCTGCGAGTGCGAGGGAGGCAGAGCGCGGCGGAAAGGCACTTTTTGGAATCGGAGTTTGCGCCGCCCCCGCCATCTCGTTTTTACTTCGGTTCGTCGAAGCCGCGCGAAGAGCGCAATCTTTGTCCCCGTGTGTGCCCCCCACCACTGGCTGACCTCTAGCTACGCGCGCAGACAAGCGGGTCGCTCTACGTAGCTCTGCGTAGCTCTGCGTAGTGTCACGTCACCGCGTCACCGCCCTGCCCGTTGCGTCGCGTCGGGGTTTGTTATTATTTTTACTATCACGGCGGAGAGGGGTGGAGAGGGGAGGGGCAATCCACTCAGACGCGGCGACACTGCGTGCGTGCGGCAGAGTCGGCATACCGGCACGCCAACGACGTCAACAACGTCAACACGGAGTAAAAAGTGTCACCACGGAAACGCAAAGCACGCACGCCACGTCGCGCAAAGGAGCGAGAGAGACTGGGCGACGCACGCCAACGCGACGAAAACGACTCTCAGTCTGCTGGGCGGCTGACGTCAAGGGCCGATGCCTTCCCAGCTCATTTAACTGAAACTGTCATGCATGGCAGTGGGGCGAGCGGACCGTGAGTGTGTGTGTGTGTGTGTGTGTGAGGGTGTGTGTTGTGGGCGCAGCAGGCACAATTCCGAGCCAACGATAAATGCGTCAGCAGCGCCTTGGTGCTCGTTTGCGAGCCGTGCCCTCGTCGCGCTGTCGCTCTCGCACCCCTCCGCGACGCCCCGCGAGTGCGAGAGAGACAGCGCGACGAAAGCGTTGTTCTGAATCGCTCAGTGCTGATAGCCCGATGTGGGACGGCCCGGAGAAGTTTTGGAGCAGCCTGGCCCTGGAAATCCATTGCCTCAGGACATCTTCTCCGGGGTGAGTGAATTCTCATTCGAATCAGCACCACAAGTCATTCGGCTTTCATGTTTTCTTATTTAAAAAAATAATTAAAAGTAACAATTACGCTTCTTTTGTGATGGTTCTGATGAGATTCTTGCAGTTTTCCTGGTACATCTGAAAGAAAAAAACAGGCAGATGCCGTCAGTTTGGTTTAACGAGGTAATCTCGAAGGCCGTCGTCCCGTCTCAGTCACGCGCAAGCGACGCGTGCACTCACCTTCTCGTTCTCCTTGTTGTAGCACTGGTCCACCTTGTAGGCCTTCTCGCAGAGGTCTGTCTCCCCTGGAAAGAAGGAAGCAGAGAACAATTAGCGGCAACACACAGGCAGACATGCGGACGGGCTGGCTGGACAGACAGGCGAGACAGACAGACAGACAGACGTACCATCACCCAGGCACTTCTCGGCAATCGCCTTCATCTGTTCCTGCTGTGAGGGATGGACCAGGGCGCGCGACCGCTCTGGGTCGATTTTACCTTCCTCGGACATCTGCAAACGGACGCAATTCGTTTAAGTCTGACACAGTTATACGAAATATTGTGTGTTTTTTTTAATCAGAGAGGAGAGGGGAAAAGACTTACAATGCCCACTCTCTGCTGGACGCACTTCGCGAAGCACTGGAAAAAGTTTGGATAGTTTAAACAGGGGTGACATGAAAACCATTAAATGCCCAATTTGCTGCAGGTTTGTTTCAGTTCTCATACCTTGTACGCCCTCTTTTGAGTTTCATCGGACGGTAGCGTGCTCATGCAAGCCTGGTTTAGTTGGTCTAAGAACAAAATAATAGTGAGTTTTGAAGTCGATTATTATTTTTCGATTTAATTTGCCTTGCCATTTCAAAGACACTACTCACCTACTGACAGTTTGCTCGTCTCCTGGCATTTTTTCAACGCCCTCTGCACGGCGGCAGTGGCGTCGGCCTCGGCGTCGGCAGCCACCTGGACACACAGACATGGGCGAAAATGAAATTTGGTTTGCATGGAGAGGCGTCGTCAGATGCCATCGGTCGGTATCGGCTCCACCCAAAGTGCGGGCTTGGTAATGCTGGGTGTCGAAGCCCCGTCCGCGCCGCGCGGGCTGGCCGCTCACGCCGGGGCCCCGCCGGGCCCCGGGGGCTCAGCCAAGGCCCACCCATGAGACTAGGGGTAATGGACTCGCAACGGAGCTGGCCGGAATCTCTGCTTTGCTAATTGTAGTTCACTATTTCTCCGACTAAATATGCGAGTTTTGAGATGGCTCGGGCATTTTTGGAAAGAAGACATCTTAAAGTATGCCCTAAATTCAAAAAAAATTCAATTTTCCCACCAGGGCTTGAACAGTAACAGCTTCGCCGTTGCGCTACTCAAATGCGCAGGGCGACGGGCATGGTGCCAGGGGCGACGCAGGGGGGGCGCCTCTTCAACTCGCGCTAGAAGCTTCCCGATGCCGCAAAAGTGATGGGACAAGTGGTGCACCTTGATATATGTCGAAGACAAACTATGTCCCATCACTTTTGCGGCATCGGGAAGCTTCTATCGCAAGTTAAAGATGCGTCCCCCCTGCGTCGCCCCTGGCACCATGGCCGTCGCCCTGCGCATTTGAGTAGCGCACTGTTTGCTCGTGGCGTTACAAGTGTAATGAAAAGAGGTTGGCCCCACCGTACTGACGAGTCGTACGTCGGAACTGTACGGCGCACCATCCCTCCATGGTGCACGGGATCCAGGGCCATACCCTTCGGTATGACGGGCCCGGCCCCCCTCCACTGCCGACGCCGACCCCCCACCACTCCTGTCCATACCCCTCAGAGGTATTGTCCATACGTCTCAGACGTATGATCTCTGACGTAGGCGCGCAAAAGCTTACTCCGTGCCCCCTCGGGGCCTCGAACCCGCTACCTGCGGCCCTTGAGCCGCGCCGCCTGACCACCAGACCACCACGCTCCGTGAGGGGAGGCGACTCCGTTGTCTACCACACTCCGCCAGGGCGGCGGGTCCGGCGACGAGGCGCGGGCTCCGGGGAGGCGGGGCAAATCCCCACTCCGACCACGCCGCCCCCTCACCCTGCCCCTCTCCCCCCTGAGTCATACCGATGCGTACGGTCATATGCCAAAGCCATACGCCACCACCAGGGTATGACCATACATCGATATGGCCTTACCCGCCGTACAGAGAGGAAGGGAAGGACTTACAATGCCCACTCTCTGCTGGACGCACTTCGCGAAGCACTGGAAAAAGTTTGGATAGTTTAAACAGGGTGACATGAAAACCATTAAATGCCCAATTGCTGCAGTTTGTCAGTTCTCATACGTTGTACGCCCTCTTTTGAGTTTCATCGGACGGTAGTGTGCTCATGCAAGCCTGGTTGTTGGTCTAAGAACAAAATAATAGTGAGTTTTGAAGTCGATTATATTTCATTTAATTTGCCTTGCATTTCAAAGACATACTCACCTACTGACAGTTTGCTCGTCTCCTGGCATTTTTTCAACGCCCTCTGCACGGCGGCAGTGGCGTCGGCCTCGGCGTCGGCAGCCACCTGGACACACAGACATGGGCGAAAATGAAATTTGGTTTGCATGGAGAGGCGTCGTCAGATGCCATCGGTCGGTATCGGCTCACCCAAAGTGCGGGCTTGGTAATGCGGGGCGAAGCCCCGTCCGCCGCGCGGGCTGGCCGCTCACGCCGGGCCGCCGCCGGGGCTCAGCCAAGGCCCACCGCGATGGGGCCGATGGGGCCGATGGGGCCCACCCCGCGGGTAAACACGGTGGTCACGGCCGCCATTGCGCAACCGCCCTCCTGAAGGCTCATTCCGCAGCCTCTGTCTCTCTCGCACTCCTGCGGCACGCGCCACGGGTGCGAGAGAGACAGAGCGACGTTGTTTGAACTCGGCCGCCGCGGTGCTGCCCCTGGCCGCTCCGAAGCAACGCGCGGTCGGCGAGGCTCGCGGCTCGCGGCTCGCGGTGCGCGGAGGGACGACGCCGCGGCCAGCCACTTCCGCTAATTTTACGATCGCTTTATGCTACACTTTGGTTCCAGCGGGAGGCGGGTCAGTGCCCCCGCGCGTCCGCGCGTCCGGGATGAAAAATAAAAAAGGTCATACTGCCGCAGTCGGCGCCAATTCTCGGCGGTTGACCCCGCCGTGCTGCTGCCGTGCTGCCGGCGGCATGCCGCGGCCCCTGGACGCCAAGCAGGAGGAGAACGAGACGAAGGAGATGCAAAATATGCAGGAGGAGAGGCAAAGAGAGCCGCGCGCCGCGCCGAGGATATTGGCATGCTTGGACAGTAGGACGGCACGGCGTGGCGGGCACAGCGGGCATGGCCCAGACAGGCTTCTGTAGTCTGATTCCGAACAGTGTATCACCGCGCTGTCTCTCGCCGCTCGGCCTTTCTCGCACCCCAACGGGACACCCCACGAGTGCGAGAGAGACAGAGCGCCGAGGCCACCGTTCGGCATCTGCCTGCGTGCCCCCCGGCCCGCATTTGATAACGAGAGGCCGAAAACTCTCGCGGGGAGTCCGTTACGTAAATGACCGGGCAGAGCGGGGCAGAGCCGCGCCTGCTTCTCGCCTCTAGCCCGCTGCTTGCGGTGGGACCGCGAATGAGGCAGTGTAGGGGATGAACCGCCAGCACCAACGCCGTTGCGCAAGCAAACTAGTGTCCGTGCAGGCCACTGACCCACGGCTAGGCGCGTCGCGCTGCGTCGCGCGCCGCCAAGTCGCGCTCATTTCTGGCGGCAGAGACAACTCGCCGCTCTCTCCTCTCGCGGGCTCGGTAGTTCCGGCACCCGCCGCTCCGGGGGCAGGCGGCAGCACTGGCTGGCGCGGGGCGCGCACCGCGCCTCCACTCTTCCAGCACTCCAGCGTGGGCAGACTCGGCCGAGAGTCGTTTTCGTCCCTCTGTCTCTCTCGCAACCCTACGGAACGCCCCATGAGTGCGAGAGAGACAGCGAAGAAAGCACTGCTCGGAGTGAGCCCCGGACCCCGCTTGCCACTCACCAGGGCCGCGGCCAGGAGGACGGCGAGGGCGGCGACGGCGAGCTTCATGTCGAGGCGCTCGGGATCCGCGGCGGACTTGGACTGTCGCGAGGAGGCGACGGCAGGCCTTATTTATAGACTGCATTGTGATATGGCAGTGTGCTGGGCTTCGCTTGCTTCGCTTCGCCTCTTCGGCGCTTCGGCCTGGCCGTCCCGGTCGGCTCCCCACTCCGTGCCACTCCGTGCTCTGCGTCGTGCTCCTCGATATGACACTTTTTGCCTCCCTCCTTCCCCCTCGGAAGCCTCGACCGCCATGACGGGGCGAGAGAGAGGAACCGATAACCCTTCCTCCTGTCAACGTTGGCCGCGCCAGATAGCGCAAATTCGCGTTCCGCGTTCCGGGCCTGTGGTCTCAATTTTTCTGCTTTTTCTATTTCGCGATGATGGAGCACCCAGCGCAGCACGCGGAAGTTGCCGCCGCGTCGCGAGAGGAAGTTTCTGGTCGTCTTGGGCGGATGCGCGGCGGCCGGAGGGGCCGCGGGGCGTGACCCCGTTTTCTAATCGCAGCATTCGAGATCTCGCATCCTCGCAGGGGCAGCGGGAAGGTACAGTAGCCACGCCTGACCTGCCTCAAAGGAGCTAATGCGCGTGTTTAGTCGTTAAGTACCAGGCGTGGGCTGCCGCGACGCTGCCATGTGTTTATTCCCTCTGTTTCTTCGACTTTGTCCGGCGGGCCGTTGTCTCTGTCTGACGGGCCAGCTGGCTGATTCCGAACAAGTCGCCCCTGTCTCTCTCGCTCTCGGGGGGCCGAGCGTGGGGTGCGAGAGAGACAGAGCGACCGTGCGCAGACGGGTCAGCCGCCGCCCCGTCCCCGCGGCGCGCACGGCCGTGACTTGTTGCTATTCACACGATTGTCAGCCGAATCCATTTTATCTGAGTAACTCCTGGCTTGGAATTCCCTGAACAAACCGACCGCCACTTCACCACCGCGCGGCGGGCCAGTGCCCGGCAGGCTGGGGTCCAGCGATTAGTCACTCAGCCAATTACACAGGCCTCGGCCCCCCAAGGCCCGAAGGCCCGAAGGCCCCCCGGTGTAACGGCCGAGGGGCCGACACACTGTGCATGCCTCCATTACGTCTGCGGTCTGCTTTTGCTTTGCCAGCCTCGGCACAAACAGCTTCGGGGAAAAGACGTGAGCTGTTCCGTCCTGTTTCATTCCATTTTTTTCACTGTTTTTTTTTTGTGCTTGTTTTCCCTGTTTTGTCAGTTGTCATCTTTGTTCATGACGATAATATCGAGTCGTCTGCGCGGAGTGCTCTTCGCATAGCGGCCCAGCGAGCCCCCGCGTCGGATCGGTGTTATCTGAATAACCGGAACAGTGTTCCATCAGCCATTCCTCGCAATGGCACGCACTGGCTGAGCCGACGCTCCCCAGCGCCGGTCGTGGGTTCAAATACCAGCTCGGCAGAGTGCTCTTCTTCTCTCTCTCTCTCTCTCTCTCTCTCTCTCTCTCTCTCTCTCTCGCCCGCCTCTCGCCATGGGTACCATAAACTGCACAGGTGTTACGGTCTGCTACCGCCATACTGTACCATTCCAGGCCCGGGCTACACTCCGTCCCTGTCAGACGGGTTCAACTGCCAGAGCTGGAACACAGAGCATCCCTGCTGGGCATGCCCAGCCTGGTCCAGGCCTGGTGGGTCGCGGCCCACGCTGCCAGTGCCAGGCACCCGAGCCGTTTTATTAATAATGAAACCGAGTGGTCACTAGCCCTGCTCCAGCCGAGGCTCCAGCAGCCCCACTGCAGAGCTCTGCAGGGCTTTGCACGGCTCCGAAGCCAAACGCTCTGAAAAATGGATCACTATCGCCAATTAAGCAATGAGAGGGGGGCACTGCGCACAGTGGCGCGGTGGGTGCGGCGGGTGCGGCAGCACGGAGCCGAGAGCAGAGGTCGGAGCAAGCCGCCAACCAGCACGCCAGCCTCCTGGAAAAGGGGGCCACTTTCAATCAATCAATAAATGCCACGTGACAGTTTTGCAAACAGGCTGCGGTTTAATTGTAAATCCTGCCACCGCGTCAGGAAGGCACAGGCATGTTAATACACGGGCTGCAAGAGCCAACATGGTCAATTCATTTTCACTTATACATAAAAATACTTTGTGTCAAATGAATCAAAATAGACCACAACAATAACACAAACATATTTCTTGCCTAAAACAATATTAATCAATCCACTTTCATCTTTTCTCAAATAATGAGACAGCCTTAAGTTTCATTGTTTTTTTTTGTATTGTTTTTTTCAAACTTGGAAATAAATGTCCAGGTTCATTGGTTCTTGTTCAAAAGCATTAGGCAAATCAGAGCCAATAATTACACTAATTGAATAGTGGTGGTGATAACAGATTGTCAACTTCACCAAAAAATTATTAAGTACCTTAATTGTGCGTACTACAATGTAAAAAGATTCTCTTGTATCACAGCACACTGCAGATTTGTTTCATAAATGATTCATTAAAAATATCTTCTAGTACATGGATAGTCAGACAAACAAAACAAAAAATATATAAGAAGGCCAAACAATGAGAGAAACAGTATCACATACATTCGTACAAATTTATGGAGCAAAATGATCAAAAGTTCCAACTACAGCAAGAAAAAGGTACTTGACTTTAGTTCCATGTAAAAAGATCAACAGCAAAATATGAGTGTTTTGATTAGTAGAAGCTAGTTTGCTACACATTGTCATTAACATTTTCAGACTATGTGACTAATGACTAGTTAGTTTCTTTTTTGTTGTAGATTTTTGAAGAATACACAGAATACATTAATAAACAGTGTTATCACTTGAAATAAACTTCATTATCAGCAAATCTACTGTTAAGACTGCTATGAGTCTTGATCATGTAACACTATAAAAGCTGTACTCTGCAGAATACAGTCAAAATACTTGTAAAAAAGCATTGAATAGTTGTTATATAGGGACAACAGCATAATCTTATGACAAAATTCATCACCCACACTCTTTGTTTGACTGATAACTTACAAAATTACTATGTCAAAACTGTAGTCCAAAAATGATCCACAGTAATTGGAATGGAAACATCTACAGCATATCTCAATGGTATGTTGCATCATGTATCATATATCATTTAAGAAAATGTTAAAAATTACTTAATTAACATTGAAGATCAATTATAAAAATACTGATAAATGACACAATTACTCAAAAATCCTATGCACACAATCACTGAAAATTTACAGGCGAGTCTCAGAAATGTACTTCCTTGCAAACAACAATAGATTTTAGATTTTTGGAATAGTGATGAGTCAAAGCTAAAACTACCTATCTAAACATTTAGTAGGATTCACTGAACAAAATCTGAGTTTTGAACATTTACAGAGACTTCTTCTCCTGTTCTACTGCACCTGACTGACTTGAATTTGTTCTCCATGATAAATAAGTATTCCAAAATATAGCAACTATCTGTACCACTAAAACTCTGTATTGAAATGGTGTGAGGTAGAAGTTGAAGAGCTGAACTGCTGGCCATAGCTGCAACAATGTCATCAGAATATTAACAATGCATATTAAAAGTGAAATTCATGCAAAACACCAAATAGAGTCTATAAATAACCTTGTAATTGTTGATGAGAACGTCTGGATACGTAGAAACAAGTTGGTCTTGGACTTGTTTAGCATTCAGTCCCTGACTGAAGCCGATTGTGGATAACAGAATAACAATGAAAGATGGTGCAAAAAGCAGCTGATCAGCGCAAACCTTCTTCAGGAGAGCCTGGGTACCTGCGGCTCCAATGCGTCGTTCCATAAAACCATACCAAGTAAAGAGGGAAGGACCCTAGGGAAATAGAAGAGGATGAGGTAACAAAACAAGAAAAATTAAGGCCTCACTCAAAAACAAAGCAAAAGTTGATACCTACCACCAGACAAGTACCTATTGCACCAAATCTGGCAACACGCCCTAAATCAAGCTCAATTAGTTTGCGTTTGTCAATAACAGTTTGGGCTACAACGTCTCCTGTGGCCATTAAAATTCCTGTATGAATGAATAATGCATAAATGAGTGAAACAAAGAAACGTCACAAAAAATTTGTCACCAATCAGATACAGAAAGTTTTAAAAGACTATAATTAGTTATAAATATTACCTGTCTGGACAGCCTGAGATCCCATGGGATATCTACGGATTGCATTTTGGTAAAGAGACAGTAAAGCTCGCATCGTGAATTTCGCGATCTTGGACTGCCGACGAAAGTTCACGTTTACCTTCTGTTCAGATAATACTGGAAAGCTTACCAGTAATACAGTGACAGTATATAATGAGGAATCGTTCAAAAGGCACCCATCGAAATAGAGGCGTGCAAGAATTTTTTTCAGGTCTAAAGTACGTCAATTTTTTGCAAAATAACCGAAAATGCAAGCAAAATCAAAGACATGGGCAACAGCAGAAACGACTGGAAACAAACCGGTGAGCTAGTGGGGGAAATCTGTGAATAATGCCCATAGTGCCAACGTAGGGAAAATAAAAAACACATGGAGCCATAAAAGCCAGAGGGAATAAACACGTAAAGCCCAGAGAAATGCATATATTTTGCTTCTGTTCAAAAGATGTTTACATTTATCTAATCTCTTTCATTCCATGAGAACGTCACGTCAAAAAATATTATGATGCTGAATTTCTCTTACAGCGATTTATCGATCACTTCCTTGGGGGAGAAGAAAAGCAAGAGGACGAAAACCAAAGCCGTCGGCGGACGAATCCGTTTCCTTTCTTCAACGTAGTCTTTCAGGTGGGTACCGCATTTGCGGCGTGTTATCCAATTTTAATTGAGGTATAATTTTGCCATCCGTTGTTTTCGTCGAAATTCAAATTTTGATCGGAAGTCTGTTAATCCGTCAGATGTTAAATTTTTGTCGGAATCCCCGTTTTATTCCATCAAATATGAGTGCCGACTGGTTGACGTGCTTGTGTTTTGCACCGATCCTTCCCGCATCGCGTCAAGGTTTCTCCGGTCAATAAACTACTCTCAAATCGATTTTACATGTTCGGCCAATTATTTTCCTTTCCTGTGGACTTTGTATGAGTCAGTCGGAAAGTTGCGGACTTGGTACGAATTTTGTAAACATCGTGCCTAGCAACATAACCTCTCGCTCCCGCTTGTTGTGGATGCTGTCGCGGGTTTGTTAGGTTGTTTTCCGCGTCGACCGACTTTTTTGTCAGCCTGATGCGGCTCTCTGGGGCGTCTTTCGCACTCCCCGGTCACCTGGGAGAAGCCCGTCCTCTCATTCGGTCAGTTTGCGGCACGGTGCTTACAGGTTACCTTTGCTTGTGTTTGCAGGATGGGTCGTGTGATTCGCGCCCAGCGTAAGGGTCATGGGTCGGTGTTCACCGCCCATACCAAGCACCGCAAGGGAGCCCCCAAACTGCGTTCCCTCGACTACGCTGAGCGACATGGGTACATCAAGGGTGTCGTGAAGGTATGTCTGATTGTTGCCGCCAGCCCTAGGCAGTCCCTGTCGACTCTTGTCAGTGGCATCTCTCTCTGATTGGTTGTGAAGTTATCAAAGGAACTCTTACTGACACAGTGCCTGATTGGTTTGTCATTTGTCAATCAGTTCTATCCCTATCAAATATGGCAGTTATGGTATTGTCATGCTCTCTAGTTGCTTTCAATTGTCAGCTGATTTTGAAATGATTTTTGGAAATGATTTTCATGCAATTCCATCCTCTCTTCTCCAAATTAATGTCTTTATTTCTTATGTGTCCTGCAGGATATCATCCACGATCCCGGTAGAGGTGCTCCCCTCGCTGTCATCCACTTCAGGGATGCCTACAAATACAAGACCCGCAAGGAGCTTTTCATTGCCCCTGAGGGCATGTACACTGGCCAGTTCTTGTACTGCGGCAAGAAGTGTAAGTATTTAACACCTTCTCTGACCCTGTTTGAAAGGAGCCTGGTAACAATGTACGTTTCCTTGTTGCAGCTACCCTCCAGATCGGTAACGTCATGCCGGTTGGTGGTATGCCTGAAGGTACCATTGTCTGCAACTTGGAAGAGAAGACTGGTGACAGGGGTCGGCTTGCCCGTGCTTCTGGCAACTACGCCACCATTGTTGCCCACAACCCGGATGCCAAGAAGACTCGTGTGAAGCTTCCCTCTGGTGCCAAGAAAGTTATCCCCTCTGCCAACAGAGCCATGGTTGGTGAGTATCGTTCCTGCATTGCTCTTACAGTACTCTTTCTGCACTTTTCCTCATTGGTTGAATGCCCTATTCAGGTATTGTTGCTGGTGGTGGACGTATTGACAAGCCCATTCTTAAGGCTGGTCGCGCCTACCATAAGTACAAGGCTAAGCGTAACTGCTGGCCTAAGGTTCGTGGTGTGGCTATGAACCCTGTTGAACATCCCCACGGTGGTGGTAACCATCAACACATCGGTAAGGCATCCACAGTCAAGCGAGGAACCAGTGCTGGTCGCAAGGTGAGTTCATTTCTCTTAATGATGAGTGTTTCTGTTTTTATCAATTATTTTTTACACATTGCTGTGATGTTTAAGACATTTGAAAACCAAATTTTGTTGAGGAAAAATTTTTACTGAGCACTGTGTTACTTTCTATCTATTAAATTATTATTATTCTAGTTTGTAATTATCTGTGATAGTGACCACTATTTGAAATCAATTTTATGTCTAGATCCAACCTTTTTCTGAGCAATGTGCTTCTTAATGCTCATGGTGTCTTATTATGTCTTGTCTTTTCTTGTGTTGGTAAAGACTTAAGCATATCAAATTTTGTTGGGTTTCAAATTTTACTGGGCATATGTGAGCCAAACCTTTTGATGTTAAAGTTTTTCATTTTCTCTATTTCATTTTTTCACATTGCTGTGATGTCTAAGACATTTGAAAACCAAATTTCTTTGAGGAAAAAATTTTACTGAGCAATGTGTTGCCTTCTAGTATTTGTTAAATTATTACTTACGCTTGTAAGCTTAATGACCACATCGGAAATCAAAATTATGTCTAGCACCAACCTTTTCTAAGCTATGTGCTTCTTAACACTCTTGGTTGAATTAACAAGAAAATATAACTTTTTGTGGTTTTAAGTTCTACTGCGCTCAAGTAAACCCGAACCTTATGACATTGAATCCCTCAATTTTCCTAATCCTGTTTATTTATTTCCCCAGGTTGGTCTCATTGCTGCCAGGAGAACCGGTCGTATTCGTGGTGGCAAGAAGGACAAGAACGACGAATAGACTTGACACCCTTGTTATATATAATAAATACCAAAACCCAAATTTTTGTCTTTTCACTCAACACCTGATTTTCCATATAACACCTGGTTCCAAATCGAACTAAAGTACCCACACACAAATTATTTAGTGATTTGAATGGTTTGTTCTTTGGTTGATATGAAGCTCTTCCCAAGGCCCATGTATTTTTGTTATTCACATTTTACTGATGGGATTTCCTTCTGGGTGCCATTGAGTATCAAATCTGGACACAATGGAGTACAGAATAAAGAATGTTAGAACACCCACGAATGTTCGGGTCCGGGGTTCCTCTTAACCGTCAAATCCTCTCATACGAACCTCTGTGTTGTTCCATATAATTTACGCTCTTTGCCGCTTGGAGGAATGGTGTTAACAAGAAAAGACATTTCGACCTAGTTTTCCATTAGTATTCAAATCTCCCGCCCTTCGCACACTGCCCCTGTGATTCCAGGCAGTCGTGACAAAAACCTCACAAGTATTACTGTGGATACCCCAACGACTGTTATTGTTGGAATCAGTTAATGAAAACTTGTTATCAAATTGAGCCATTCAAACACCAAGGATTCCGTTCAAAATGAGAAATATGGCGTGTCCGTCTTGACGTCGAAAGAGACGTCACGCGTCTACCACGTAGTCACTGCTGTCTGTTCGTGTTCTTCTCCAAAGTTTAGTCAATGCTAGCACTCTTTGTGTGAGAACTTCTTGTGGAAAGGACGCTTTGAAAAGAGCTCCAAGAGTATACGTCTTGACTTATAGTAATATGAGTAATGCACCCTACCAAAATGGATCAGGTCTAGAGCAGCAAGTAAGTTTCCACTGTCCGAATTGACGTAAATTTACGAAGAGAAACCATTGAAGACGGGGTCCGATTTAGGGGTTACCGAGTAGGCCGTCCTTAAATGAAACTTCACTTTCTCCGGATGCCTTTTAAACATTGTTTCAATGGCATTTTCAACATATTTTGCTGACGTAATGGACTTGGGTCTTTAATACTCTGAAAGTTTTATGTTTGTCTATTTCCATTTTACGGCATTTACTCTGGATTCTGAATGGGGGAAATGTGCCGTGGGCTACGTGTACTGCCGCAATGGCGGCTCGGACGGGGGCATTGCTTGGCTTTCCTAGGAATTTCGCGACTCATAACCCGGTGTATTGCATCAAATTGTGAAACCCCTGATGCCGAGAATTTTGCTCTTTCAGCGGTGTGCCCAGCACGTACTTTATTAGATCTTTTCATTGAATGCAGAGTGATTTAATTTGGTGAAATGTCAAATATAAGGGAGGGCCTAGGGCTCGCCCGTCCTATTTGGTAACTCGTTGAATTTTCATAACCCTTTTGTCCCGAAAATATCTTATATTTTCTTTTTCCGCTGCGGGCATTGTCAAAACATGTTCAATCTAAATTTTTCCGTTTTTACAATTTAGTTCAACTTCTTAGATTTGCCTTAATACAAGAATATTTAAAAATTTTGTCACTTGAATTGAACAAAGTATGTTTGTTTCTGCTATTTTTTTTTCTAACTGTCATATTTTTCCACAGTTTGCTGGTCTGGACTTGCAGGAGAAACCGAGGGAGACCTATCGTCCTCCTCACCTGCGCAACAAACCTGCTGGTAAGTTGTGTTAAATTTTTGGGAGTTCCTTTGTTCAGAGCACATTATTTTAAGGCAATAGGTAGCTTATTGGGGGCATAATGTGTTCCAGTCAGTGACTCTAGCGGGGATCACAGGTCGGATTATTACGACAGTAGGGACCGAGATCGGGATAGGGACCGAGATCGCAATCGAGGTGGTGGCTACCGCAGTAAGTACATGTGGATGCCCCTCACTGGAGGAATTTTGTTGCGGCTAATTGGCATGTGGCATAATAGCACGACTTAGTGTAACAAGGGTTTTATTCACGAATTATTCTTTGGTTTTATCCAGTAGCAGAATTGCCTTCACTATACTAACTATCGATACCTATTATACTTCACCCTCCACAGCTCTGTATTGTGGGAGTGACTTTATCTGTCCCATTAGGAGGTTTTTAGTTGGTTTTTTGTTTGGGTATTTTTTGCTCATTGAGAATTCAGTAACCACCTGTAACCTTACCAAGTAATCATTTGTAGTGCCTGACTGATCCTAAGTACTGCTTGTCTTGATTTACTTACCCTTTTACCCTGCAGTTCTTAATAGCAATGGGTTTGTTGCTGGTTGTGCATGTGCGATCAAAGTTATTTGCAAAGAAAAGAAAACTTGAATAGTTAAAATTTCATTCATGTATCAACAGCAATTACTAACAAACTGCCATGATGTGGCTAGTAAGTCCTAGTTGTTTTGGATGGTAATGTTCTGAAGTATGCAATCCTTGCATTGATTGCGTTTTCTGCTGCATGTTAAGCTAGGCCACAATTTTCAAGAAGTAGCGTTAGTAGTATTATTACTATCATTAGTATTCTCATTTGAAGGGCACAACTACCTCTTATTTGAGTGGAGACTGTTCACTCATGATCTGATGTCATTAACCGGATATGTGCTGCCCACTTGTTGAGTGCTCTAAAATGCGGAGAAAGCGGCTTTCAAATCTTTCTAGCAGATATAGACGGACATGTATGAACCTACATTGTTGCACTGTAACTGTCACTTCCTGTAAAGTTGACGCTCTGCAGACCCCCTCTCCCTCCTCCCCTCCCCCTCGGCGAGTCCGGCCCCCTCTCTGAAACTTGTGCGTCTTGTGCTTGCAGGCGGCGGGGGAGGTCGCAGCGACGGTTACAGCGACCGCGGAGGAGACCGCGGCGGTGACCGCGGCGGCGATCGCAACCGCGGAGGCCGCTATGAGAACGGCGGCGATGACCGCGGCTGGGGCGGCGACCGCGACCGCGACTCCGGTCGTCGCGGCGATGACTGGGGCAGCCGCGGGGGCGGCGGACGTGGGGGCGGCAGCTGGGCTGAGCGCGGCGGCGGGGGCCGCGAACAGGAGCCGCCCCGAGGCAACGATCGCTGGCAGGAGCCGCCCTCCATGGGCTACCGCGATCGGGACGGTGGCGGCCGCGGGGACAGGGACCGCGACGACAGGGACCGTCGTGGAGGAGGACGCGGCGAGATCGACTGGACACAGCCGACGCCGCGCGACGAGCGCCTGGAGAACGAGCTGTTCGGCTCAAGCAACACGGGGATCAACTTTAATAAGTACGAAGACATTCCCGTGGAGGCGACGGGCGACAACTGCCCGAACCATATCAACTCTGTGAGTAGCCACGATGCCTTTCCTCACTTTCCAGCCAATGTGGTATTCTGAAGAATTTTTTGATGGTTCAGAATCCGTTACTGGCGTTGGCCTTCATTCATGTCTTTGCATGAAAATACTTTTTTAAATTTACCGACTGTGGTTATCCTTATGCTTAACTTGACTTATTTTTCCTATTCTGTGCAGTTTGAAGAGGTCAAGATGACTGACATCATCAAGACCAACATAGCTTTGGCCCGCTATGACAGCCCCACACCTGTACAGAAGTACGCTATTCCCATCATCATTGGCCAGCGTGACTTGATGGCTTGCGCCCAAACTGGTTCAGGAAAAACTGCTGCTTTCCTTGTCCCCGTGCTTAACCAAATGTATGAGCGTGGTCCTCAGCAGCCTCCCAATGCTAGGGTATGTATCTTAGCTTATTGCAATTTTCTAAATCTTTTTCCTTCAAAACCGGTACTTACTATTGTGTGCTTCAATTGTTTTCAGAACTACGGGCGTCGCAAGCAGTTCCCAATGGGCTTGGTGTTGGCTCCTACCAGAGAGTTGGCCACACAGATCTATGATGAAGCCCGCAAGTTCTCCTACCGTTCCCGCATGCGCCCCTGTGTTGTGTATGGAGGTGCCAATGTTGGTGAACAAATGAGGGAGTTGGACCGAGGCTGCCACCTCTTAGTTGCTACTCCTGGTCGCTTGTGTGACATGCTTGAAAGAGGCAAAATTGGCCTTGAGAACTGCAGATTCCTTGTATTGGATGAAGCTGACCGTATGTTGGACATGGGTTTTGAGCCCCAGATCCGACGCATTGTGCAGAAGAACAACATGCCAAATGTTGGAGAGCGTCAAACTCTTATGTTCTCAGCCACTTTCCCCAAAGAGATTCAGGTACTTAAGTTTAATAAAAATAAATTATCTAATTTTTAAATTTACTTGTACTGAAATTTATTAATGCTTTTTGTTATCTTATCAGATGCTTGCTAGGGACTTCCTGGATAACTACATTTTCTTGGCTGTTGGTCGTGTGGGATCAACATCTGAGAACATTACCCAGCGCATTGTGTGGGTTGAGGAGTACGACAAGCGTGAATTCCTCCTCGACTTGCTAAACTCCTGGAGAAATGAGCCCAACTGTAAGCGTTGCTCCTGTTTTAACCCTTAATTTTGTAATAATGCTGTGGTGATTTTTTAAAATTAATTTTAATGATATCCTTGTGTTTTGTTTAACAGGCGAAGAGTCTTTGACTTTGGTCTTCGTAGAAACCAAAAAGGGTGCTGACTCCTTAGAAGAATTCCTCCACAATGACGGCTATCCAGTGACCTCCATTCACGGAGACCGTTCTCAAGGTGAACGAGAGGATGCTCTGCGCAGCTTCCGTTCTGGGAGAACCCCTATCTTGGTTGCCACTGCTGTAAGTAGCTCTGACCAAAGTTTGACCGACTGCTGCACCAGTTCATTACAATAAACTCTGGATTAAATTTATTCCAGGTGGCTGCTCGTGGTCTCGACATTCCTCATGTGAAGCACGTTATTAACTTCGACCTCCCCTCCGATGTCGAGGAGTACGTTCACCGCATCGGTCGTACCGGCCGTATGGGTAACACCGGCAAAGCCACTTCCTTCTTCAATGACAAGAACCGCTCTCTGGTGCGAGACCTGGTGGAGCTGTTGGTGGAGACCAAACAGGACCTGCCAGAGTGGCTCGACAACATGGCCACTGATCCTCGCCAGCCTTCTGGCGGGCGACGTGGAGGCGGCGGCAAGGGGTGAGTTTTCCGGACTAAGTTTTGCCCTTCTGGCCGTCAGAAAGCCAAAGCTAACATTGTTGACATTTCTCTCTTTCACAGACGGTTCGGAGGCGGCGGTTTCGGTGCCAGGGATTACCGTACTCAACCCGGCGGCGGCGGCGCTGGAGGCGGCAGGCCGGGCGGCGGCCGCAGCTACGGCGGTGGTGGCGGTGGCTACGGTGAGTACCTTCCTTGAAATTCGACTCATTCCAGAAAGGTTATTGGAGTAGCCAGAGGATAAAGTTTGCTTTGCACCATTGGCGACTCTAATTTCCATCTGTTGGTTGGCTGCTGTGATGTAGCTCTCCTTGTTTTCATCTCCGTCTTTTTGTCTTCCAGGAAACTACGGTGGTGGATATGGTGGCGGCGGCGGCGGCTATGGTGGCTCTTACTCCTCTGCTGGCGGTGGCGGCGGTGGCGCCTCCGACTGGTGGGACTAAACTCTCCCGACTCTTCACTTCAAACCTTTTAGATTACTCAGTACCTCGACCAGTTTAAATAATTATGCTTGAACTGTGTGCGTACAGTATGGGTAAAATTTGTTGTTTCTCATTGGAAGAAGAGATTTTTCATGACTTATTGAAATCCTTTAGGATGACAGCTTGCTCTGGGGTTATTGTTTTGGCACATATCATGCATTACAGTATTTGGTCATTGAATTAAATGTTTTAATTTGTGGAACTGGTTTTGAGCAAATGATTTTGAGTGGTCAGACCAGATCCTATTCTGGAGTTTCCCTTGATTTTTGAGCAAGGGTTATTATAAACTCTATCTAGATACAAGTCTGTCTGTAGACAGCCCCCACCCCATTTTTTGTTATATGTCTGTTTTATATATACTGAAGTTGCCAAACCTTCCTTCAAGCAAGGTGTATTTCTCTTGACATGTCAAATATAAATTCAATGTTATATGTTAGTAAAGAAAACACTGCACTATTTACAGTTCTTCATGTATAAAATTTTGTTTGTTGGATAAAAAGAAAATATTTGTACTAAAGCTGTTTTCCTGTGCTTAAGCTGATTGTTTGATAACATTTAGTGTATAGGCTGCTTTTTCTTTTAAAGTAATCATGAAAGTGGGGGTCAGTTTCAGGTTGTGCCCTGGCTGTAGGAAGTAAAAGATATCCTCAATATATACTTTATTAGGTAATAATTGTATTGTCTCACCGCATTAAGGCAGGATATTTGGTCGCTTAATACAAGATCAATTGAGTGCAAAAGACAAAAGACAGGAAATTGACTTCTAATTGTTGCACAACATGTCATGTGTAGTTAAGTTTTAGAGCAGTTTGTTTGTTCCACTCATGTTATGTGTCGAATTTTTCTTTACTGGTTCCCACCAAAGAAGCTTTTTTTCTTTTTTTTTTTTACTTAAGTAGCTTATTCTAGATGTTTCCTTCGTGTCTAGGTCAGTGCTGGTTGCTTTACCTGGGGACCTAGTGCATGATTTATTTTTCTTTGTGTGCGTAGTTCTGGCCTGTTTTAGGGCTTCTTCAACCAACTTTTTTAAGAAAATTAAATACTCTTGTTTTTATATTTCATACTGTTTATCAAGCAAAACCACTTGAACAATGTTGGTCTAATGTGCAGTGGCTCGCCCACCTCTGACAAATTCCATTGCCCACAAAGCAGGCTGGAGCTGTCTTCCGAATATGTTTGTGAGCAGCCTTCTTTCTCTAACTCTTAGAGAGAGAGCTTTCCTGCAGCGCTTTTGTGTCTATGTCCAGCTCCCATATAGAGATGGGAACCCCTTTGAGACATCAAGTGTGTTTTATAGATTCTACCTTGTAGACTTCATTTTGTATTTATTCTCCACTTAGGAGCATGGTTAAGGTTTCATATGTACAGTATTGTACAAAGTCTACATTGATATCATAATAATTCATTTCTTAAATGCTGTTCATTTCATAGAATGAAGATCTTTGTACCAGATGTAATGCATTGCTATCTCGTATTATTTGTTGGTACAGAGTTATTGTGGTATGTGAACAAACATTCGGAGAAAAGCATGCATTCCAGTCAACCTATTAAACACCCCTCACTGACATGAATGATAAAAATTTTAATAATTTGTTTTTGTGCTGCACTTGTATGTTTGTTGTCTTCTGCATAGGATCAAGTACATTTCTGTGTGAGTGTGTGTGAGACTACTTGATTTAGACTTTGCTATATGTGATGTAGTCTGGTGTTGGACCATACATCCCAGCTGACAGGCTGATGAAATGGGCATGCGAAAGTTTTGTGCCCCAAAGCATTTTGCTGTCCCTGTGCAGAGTGTAAACACAAAATGACTTTTATTCACTTAACATCAGTGGCCATTCGAGTGGAATACCTACTCAAGAATTTGGAAGAGCTACTTGTTGTTGTTTTGTAGGCTCTTTGTGCTGTGGCTGGTGTGGCAGTATTTTTTGAGCCTTATAGTTGTGTATGTGCTACTGTCCTTGATGGATGTAGTGATGAAGTGATTGTCGAGGCCTGAGAGGCCAGAGCCTACTTACTGCGGACTCTGGAACTGTGGCTCAAAGAATAGTGCTTACTGTGTCAGTCGGAGGGAGACTGAATTGCAGTTCATGGACACAGAGAAGACAGTGAACCACACTCTTCTCCGTACTGTATTATTCTCCGTGAAGATGAAGCTAGTCTTGTCGGAAGCTCCGGAGAGATTATTTTTCTCCTCAATCTTCGTTGTTGATTTGTAAGAATTCTTTTAATGATTTGGATTAAACCAAGGAGAACAAATGTATAGAAATTAGGAAGCAACTGTGATAGTGAAGTGATCTGTTGTTTTATATATTTTTTTTCTTTCATAAGTCCATTTAATTTAGTACCAGTGACCCTGGTACACTTTAAACAAGCGAGCCTAATTAACAGAATCATTGAACTGCAATCGTACAGATATATAAAACAAACGATCCAGAGCCCTCACTTTGAATTTATTAAAGCACTTAAGATTTTATTTGATCAGAGGGTTCCTGATTTCCAAAGGAAATATGCAAATGTTTCTATAAGAACCTTTTATGTATTTCTTATTATGCCATTGTTGGCATTGTTAGATTCAAACAAGTCATCTTGTTAGAGAGGTATTTCATTTATCTATTTATTCTGTTGATTCACTGAGACAAAACTACCTTATTTATTGTCCTTGTGATAGCATACCCTGCAGTGTGCAGTCATTTGAACTTGAGTATATTCTTGTAATGCAAGGTAGGAGAAGCATATGAAGCTGTGATAGTAACTTTTAACTGTTTTGTATGCATTGCTTAACACAATTCAAGACAGGCGTGTGGACATGCCTGCAAAGTTTACACGGATATACTGGTTCAAATGAATCATGTTAAATCATTCTTAATTCCATTCTCTTCCACACAACCTCATCCTTTCAACTGTGAAAGCGTTCTGGGTCGTGTCTGCTGTGCCTTCAGCATTCGAAGATCAGTTTTAAAAGAATTTAACTATTCATTGCTGCAGGTATTATTAAAACTCAAATCGCCTTTGGAATAGTTTTCAAAATTTTTTGTTTTTCCCTCCCCTCTTCTTTTTAATTATTTACTAAAATATTGTATATCTGTGTGAAGGGTGTGTAACAGTGTGGTAACTTGTTTGTTATGACAGCGGAGATATTTCCTGTGACTGCAAGTCAGTTTAAGTCAAGAGTCTACTGTTTCTCAAACAGTGTGTGTAACATGGTATGACATAAGGGATGGCAAAAGAAAAAAATAAATATATCAGCAATCATACACTTAAAACTTTTCATGATTTCTCCCGTCTTTCCCCCAAACAAAGGTGATGCAGAATTGAGATTCAAACACTTATAGTTTTTATGGGTTTATTTAAATTGTGGTTTTCTTAACATAATCAATAAATATTAAATAACACTCGGTGAAGTGGAGTCATGGGTTGAATCAGTATCCCAACTTCTGAAAGAAAAGACGGAGGCCTTGTTACTGAGGATTTCACTGAAACATCAAGCATGGGAGAATGCTACGTATCTAACATGAAAGGTCTGTGAAGTCACGGTACCTACCTGGAAACAAATGGAAGTACTCAGTAGTTGTACTCTTCGGACTCGTCGTGGATGAAGACGGTGTCCTGGCAGGCGTAGCCACAGGTGGTGGGGCAGCACTTCTGGTGGCTGGCGCAGGCTTTGTCGTGCACGCACAGGTTGCCACAGAGCGAGGGCTCGCCGACGAACTGGTTGCGAGCGAGGCCCTGGATGTGGTGCGGTGGAGCCTGGGACAGGTCGGGCACCAGACGCCGGATGTGGGGGCAGAGACCGGGACGGCCTGCAGAACAATGTCAAGTCCAAGATAAAGGAATGAAACAGGGGTTTTGGAGACACGTCAACGCGCAATTAGTTTTAATAATGCCGCAAGTCTTCCGAGTGCACACGTTGCATGAGCTACAGGTCATTTGCGTTCAAATACAAGCAGACTCAAAAAGTAAGGCTTCGCAAAGACACAAAATACAAAAGACGCTACCCCTCACGCCGGAGACTCTTGACGCCAGTCTTGTGGACAAGCCCAAGGCGTGGGGTATCGCCAAGTCCATTCCCTCTCACTAAGTCCACAAGGGCGCGAAAGCCGGGGTCCCTGGCGCTCGGAGTAGTGACGGGCCTAGACAGCGACGCTACATTCCGAGGCTCACTTATGTTCCTTCCGCCTCGATAAACCATTCCCTCGCGGACGTCACGGCCGTTCTCGGCGGCGTGGTACTCACACTCTTCGTCGCGGTTGATGGTCCTCAGGGGGTTCTCGGCGGGCGAGGACTCGGGGAAGGGCACGGCCAGGGCGACGACGGCCAGGGCCGCGAGCACCACGAAGGCGGAGGTCATCTTGGCGAGCATGGTGATGGTGTTGCGGCGGCTGGTGCTGCTCTGGCGGAGGGCTGCAGTCGACTGACCCTCCGGTCGTCGACGGGGTGCTCAGGTCGACTCCGGATCACGTGACCGGCGAACCGTTCACCCGGACTCCAGCCCCGTCGACGCGGAGAAATCCACAATCGGCGCCCGGGCGGTCGGGCAGCGCCCTTTCTTCTAGGGAAGGGCTTGGTTGGCCTGCCGCGCCGCACCGCGCTCCCTTCACTTCACTCGCTTAGGAAAAACCGTCGACAACCCACGCCACCGCCGCCAACCCTCCGCGCGCCAAGTTGCTTTTCCTGTTGGGCTGACGGGCCGGGCCGGGGCGGGGCGGGCCTGTCTGCACGTCGGTCGGCCTGTCACCTGGCTGGACGTTCGGCGAGGGCTTCTTCTGGAAGTAGGTCGTCCGAAGTCTCTTTCAGGCTGGCGGCCATTTCGCTGCCATTCGCCATATTCAGAGGACAAGGGCGGTTTGATGACGGCGCGGGGGTGAAGGGTGTGGGAAGGGGAAAGGGAGGGGGAAGTCCCTGACTGGCGGCCGGCTGGGGTGCGCAAGGGTAGAGGCGTCCACCTCAAAGACAAACTACCCCTTATTTAGCCCCCATCCCCTGGCGCCTGGCGCTGTGCCGGCGGACCCAACCGCCCCAACGTGACGCCCGGGACGAGGACGGGAGGGTCACTCGACTCCTCAAGGCACTTGGGTAGGGAGTAGGCAACCCGCCTCCTTGTGTGTGTGTCTGTGTTCGCCCGACCGAGTCTAGTCTGTGCCCCGCCGCTCCGGTCGGGGAACGGGACGACCGGAGATGGGGGCTGGAGGGGCCTAACCACGCTCCCCTGCCGTGCGGCCGTGCGGTCAAGCAGACCCACATGGTTGACAAGACCCCCTCTGTTGCTATGCCCCCGGCTTGCCCCTGGCCGTACCCTGGCGTGGGGCCTTGGGGCGTGGCGCGGGGCGGGGCGGGGCGGAAGGGCTGAGCGCTGCGCTCTACGTCGGCGTCGGCCCAAGGCCTGGCCCAAGGCCCTGGCTGCCCTGCCGCAGGCATACCCGAGGGCATGCCGCATGCCGCTGGCGGCGAGGCGAACAGCTCAGCAGCCAGACTCCAGGCGCAGCTGCCGCCAGCTGCCGCAGCCACAGCTGTACTGCCTTGGAGCTGAAGCACGCTAAAGCACGCTAAAGCACGCCAAAGCCGGCAAGGCGGCGGCGCATCCAGCCGTCTGCCAGCAGTGCCTCGGCGCTCTGCCTCTCTCCCTCGCAACGCCCCGTGAGTGCGAGGGAGGCAGAGCGACGGCGCGCCTGGCACGCCACGCCATAAGGCATGCTTACCGACCGCAAGCGGCGCGAGCGGCGCAAGCCTTCCCTTCCCTTGGCTGCTTCGCTGCTTCGCTCCCTTGTATTTCTTTGGCCGTGCCGGCTGCACAGCGCGGCCAGCCGGCCAGCCAGCCAGCCAGATCCGCGGCCGGGGAATTACCCCGCACCGGACAATGAATAAAACAACACTGCAAAGGAAGTTAGAGAATACTCGGCCGGCTAGCGCCGCGTAGCGCCGCGGAGGTAGGCACAGCCGGCAAAGCACCCCCCGCCGGGCCCCGCCGGGCCCCGCCACAGCCTGGCTGGAAAGAAAATATTCCAACACCCCGTTTGCCATAGCGCCCGTGCACTGCGTCGGGGAGAAAAGCGGGAGCCCGCTGAAAAGAATACAGAAATGCCTGGATTCGCGGCACTGCGCACTCGAGGCAGCCGACGACGTTCAAGCTGCTCTCGGCGTGCGGAGCGCCGTGGAGGCAGGCAACCCAACGGACACCCGCGCCGCGCGCCGCCTGCCCGGGCGCTCCACCCCCCTTGCACCCCGTGCACTGCACTCTGGTGCACTGTACTCCGCCTGGGCGCTAAAGAGTTGCCGTTGGCGCGCTTCGCTGGCTTCGCTGCCCGCGGCCCTCCTCGCCGCGAGGCTGAGCGCTGAGCCCTCCGGCGACGCAGTGAGCAGTGGCGTGCCCGCCGTGCCCGTTCCCCAGCTGCTCTGCCGCTCTCTGCTCTCGTTGTTGTTTATTTCCCCTCGGAAGAAAGACGGATTGTGCTCCATTTTTCATGACGCCGGCCGGGGCTGGCGATCCGTGAAGGGAAGGGAACGGAACGGGGTGCAACGCAGCAGCCCAGCATCCAGCCTCGGCGCCGAGCTCGGCCTCGCCAGTTTTAGTTCCGATCTCGAGATTCCCGGCGCGCTACCAGCAGACTGATTCCGAAAGTCGTTTTCGTTATCATCGCTCTGTCTCTCTCGCACCTACACGGGACGACCCATGAGTGCGAGAGAGACAGAGCTGCGTCGCGGCGGACCCAGCTTGCAGAGCTGCAGCAGCGAAACATGGAGATGCCGGAGATTTGCCTATTATCTGCAAAGTGGAAGCGCGGCGGCGCGCTGCGCGGAGGCAGCAGCAGGCTCGCCCCGAACGGAACGGGTTTCGTCGCTCTGTCTCTCTCGCACCGACCCGGAGCGGCCGCTGAGAGCGAGAGAGACAGCGACGAGGGCGCGGCGTCGGACGGGGCGAGTTATAAGTGGACGACGATGCACGGGACAGAGCCTGGAAATAATGAATGTCTCGCCTCCCCTTCGACGGACAGCGACGAGCGAGCCGAGCGCCACCGCGCGTGGCAAGGCAGCCAAGGTCACGGCTCGGGAGTCGCGGGCTGGAGAGGAGCCGAGCCGGACTCTCGCCGTCTCTCTCACACCCGCCTTCCGCAGGGGGTGCGAGGGAGACGGAGCGAACTTGCCGGCAGCCATGCAGACTTCAGAGCGGTGTATTACGCCCGTATCAGAAAAGGCCGCATCATTTGAATATATGATCCCAGCGCTGTAAATTTTGCAGGCGCGGTATCAGCGTGAGCCTACACAATCCCTGGACGCGCAGTGCGCCGCCATGCCGCCAGCCATGCCGCCATGGCACAGCCCCCTCCCTTGCCCTTCCGCCCGCTTTGTGTGCCCCTGCCCCCTCCTGCATGGTGTGCCTCTGATAAACGCCTCCGCCCCTCCCATTATGCATCCCTCACTGTCGCGGCCCGTTCAAGTGCGGCCTGCTGGCGCTGCTGGTGCCGCATCGCTCATGTGACGTGCATGTCGCGGGGCCGCCGGGCCGTGCCATGCCATGGCCGTGCTGGGGCTGACCACTACTTTGCTGCGCCGTTCCCCTCTCGCCGCTGGAGTTGGAACAACGGCCAGATCCAGATTCCGGAGGCTCGTCTGTCTCTTTCCCACTCATGTGGCGCCCCGTGTAGGAGCGAGAGAGTCAGGAGTGACGAAAACTTGTGTTGGCATCAGTCTGCAGCGTTTCAATGCGCCGTTCCCTTCCCCGGCCTTGTCCAGCCTTGTCCAGCGCGCTCCAGCGACTGCCGCGCACGGACTTCCCCATGCCGTCGTCTGGTCTGATGGTCTGTCGCCGTCGCGAGGCGCGAGCGGGAGGACGCATCCGCTGCCGGCGTGGCGTGGCGCGGTGTGGCCGGTGTGGCGCGCTGCTCGTCCCTCTCCGCTGCCTCCGCTGCCGCTCCCCAGTGGAGCCAGCGGAGCGGCAGGGAACTCTGGTGCGGCACGAGGGAGCCCCCGGCATCAGCGGCCTCCGTGGCGCAATGGTTAGCGCGTTCGGCTGTTAACCGAAAGGTTGGTGGTTCGACCCCACCCGGGGGCGCTCTTTTTCTCGGGCCGCCCAGCCGCCGTGATGAAATGGAAACACTTCTCATTGGTTATTTTGCCGCCCACTATCTTCCCGGGGCCTCTCCCCGTCCCTTTTCCCGATAGGACAACACTTAAATTTTAATCTCATCGCCCTCGCCCTAAAATAACAGGGCCATTATGGATTGAGAAAACACTCGGGCGGCACCGCGCCTCGCCGTCCATTCTGCCTTGACGGCGACAGCGTACACAGCCTGCCATGCACACAGAGGTTTGCCCGGTGCCAAACTCACTTCCCGGACGAGAGAGGCGTGTCGGCGTGGTCGCGGGTTCGACTATCGACCGTGGCGGAAAACGCAAACAAAATCCGCGAGGGGCTCGACGGCGAGCGACGCCACGTCGCGACGCCCTCCCTCCCAGTGGAGGCGCCGTTGGAGACGCCGTTCGTCGTCGGAGTCCCTTGATGCAGCAGCTGGTGTTCATTAGAGTAGTTCCACAAGTGCACGGCCAAGGCACAGCAGTGGCGGCGCGGCGTGGGGGACGGCGGCGCAAGGGGAGGGATAAACAGCAAAAACAACAACAACAACATTTAACCCTTCCCTTGCCTTTACATTACACCTCGCTGTATTCCTGCCGCTGCGCAAAAGGCTGTAAAAGGAAAAGGACGACGCAACCCGGTCCATTTTCTCTCCGAAGCAAGACAAACTTTTATAGCGAATTTTATTATGGAGGGTGAAAAGGGAATAGGGGCACAACAGCGCCCAGAGATACGTTTCATTAATATTTTACGACAGTAAGAAAAATTCGGGGGGGGGGGGTATGACTGCACCATAGAGCGGCATCACTATAAAGGGGTCTCCACACCGACGGATACAATGCGCGCACCATAAAATAAAGTTGTTCCTCCTCCTCCTTCTCCTTGTTGGCCGAGGATTTCACGCGGCTAGGCGTTTCATTCGAAATGACGTGAGCTCCGGGAATAGACAGCAACGGACGAGAAGAGTGGGAGCGTGTTCGGGACGCGCTGCGTCGCTGCACTGTGACGAAGAGCATCTTGTCACTCCGCTGGGTGCGGCGGTCTTCCTTATAGGTGCCTTGGCGGCCCCGCGACCCCTGCGTATCCGCCCGTTGAAACCTTGGAACCTTGAAACGGGTAATCCAGAGGCCAGGGGGAAGGCGCGGTCGAGGGCGGTAGGGCGGTCCTCCTCTCTCTAGTCCGTCCGCCACAGCCTCATCCTCTTCCCCGCCCTCTCCTCGTGGACTCCCCCTCCTCCTCTGTCTCGCGTCGGGAACCTCGGCTCGGCTCGGCGCCGCCGCCGACGTGCTCGACGGGCGCTCTCCCACCTCGCTCCTCGTAGCAAGAAGCTTATGCCGCGCTGAGCGAGAGCCCAACAGGATCTTCGGTAGTATAGTGGTCAGTATCCCCGCCTGTCACGCGGGAGACC